TTGTTGAAGCATTATTCAATTCAGTTAAATTGGATTTTTAATCAAACAGCAGCAAAGTGCTTTGTGCTGTGAGGTTAAGAGCAATAAATACGAGAGGGGGCAGAAATGATTGATGCATCATGGGAAATCCCTCAGCACAGATCAGGCTGCAGCCTGACACACGAGTGGCTGCTGGGAGAGGATGTACAGGTGACACAGACGCCAGGTCAGAGGTCACGCTAGCTCGGTTTGGTTTGACCGCCAGATGACGGTGATCGTCTTACTTTACAGGAGTGGCTCGATGTTCTTCAGAGACGAGAGCGAGCTGTGAAACTGACCGAATGCACGGAAAACACGACGGCGACGGAGCAAACAGAGGACGAGGAGGAAAAGAAGACGGAGGAGGAGGATAAAAAAGAGGTAGCTGCTGCATCAAACCCTCTGCTGTTTCCTGAAGCTTTAACAGAGCCTGACAAAGTGCTTTAAAGAGACCGACTGAAGACACACGATACTGTGTGCGTTCAATAAAACAAGTCCCGCAGTTTAAAATAAGCACGCACACGATATTTGATATAACAGTGACTGACAAAGCTTAATAACTAAACTACAGAATCAGCTCAGTTTGCTGTTTATGAATGAAGCTTGCTGAGGGTGCCAGGTGTTACTGTTTGTGCTGGGACACATTCATGCACCAGCACATCACAGCCTGAAGCCGAGCATTTAAATAAGTCGTGTCAGGCATTCTTCACCCGAGGCAGGCTCTCAGTATCAGGCTTTTCCCAGCGTTCAGCACACGCACCGACCCTTCTCTGGTGGGTTTCATGATACTGGCAAGTAAAAATAGCCGAATGTGCGTCTGACAAACATTAACTGAAACTAAAGTTGAGTTTGTTGCTTCCACCTGTTTGACTTTATTGAACTCCGGCTGAGGCAGCGTGCTGTGTGTAACATGCTAAATCCACGCAGTCACACACAGCCATCCTCAGGTCGAGCTCTAAGCGCCATCATGTTTCTACATTTTGTGTTTTTCTGCACAGCGCTGCAGTCGTGTGTCAGTGTTCATGCTGTGGACACTTTAGACTAGAAGCCACACCCAACTATCCCCCCACACAGGACTACACCTGCATCGATTATAAGGCTCGCTGCCGATGAACGGGTCTGTTTTCATACATGAGGCGCATTAAGAAACAAAATCAGAGAAGTCAAACATTACTCAACTCATTCTTCTTCCTCCACTTCTGTACCATTGATTCATTAATGCTGTATTCTATCACAGCCGACATGTTGTTGCAGTATATGAAT